CTTGGCTTATCCCTAAATCTACTCAAGTTTTGAAGAGATTTTCGGAGATTGAAAGTCATCAACAAGAGGCGCAAAAGAAGAGTTCGAAATTGATTCAAAGTGGGGAGTTCTAAACTCAAAAGGTATGAATCTAGGCTTGAAAAGGGGTAGATGTGGGGAAAACTAAGAAACCCCATTCCAAATAGGATTGGGTTGTTATCTTAGGGATTGGGATTTGAGTATTAGAAGCACATTAGGATTGGGTTTTACTTTTGTCTATAAAATGGAGGGACATTCGGAAAATTGGGGAGGGGGAGGAAATTGGGGGAAGAGAAATCTGAGAGTTGAGAGGGAGAAAGAAAGCAGAAGCCGAAAAAAAAAAAAGGAGAAGATGCCGAGAGAAAGCCAAAAAAAAAAAATAGAACCAGAGGGGAAGCGGCTGCAGAGGGTGAGCAAAGAAGAAACTTGTATTTGAAATTTTATAAAGCAATAAAGCTTTAATCCTTCAGCTCCTTACAGGTGTGTGATTTATTCATTTTTGGTTGATTTCTGTTTTTTTTTTAATTTAAAAGCATGGGTAATCTTGCATGTCTCTGTTGGTTGTTCTATAAATTGGATGTGATGAAGACTTGCTGCAAAATGTCTTATTCGTTGATAAAATTAATCTGTGTAAGTTAATTAGGTGTTCGATGGATAAGATCAAGATTTAGGATGAAATTTATTTTCATGGTTACATGTAGGAGGTTCTAAATGATGTGCAGAATTGGGAAATAGAAGTTTTTTTTGAGGTAGGAAGTGAGTGTAGGTATTAAAAGGAAAAGAGAAAAGAAACAGAAACGAAAAAGAGTGCAGAAAAATTTTTTTAAAAAAAAAGGAAAAAAAAAACAAAAGCGAAAAAAAAAAAGAAACGAAAAAGGGCAGGAAGCAGAAACGAAAAAAGAAGGAAGCAGAAATGAAGAAAAAGAGAAGCGAAAAATGGGAAACGGAGTTTAAAAAAAAAATGATTGAGGAATTGTTTTTTTTTTGAAATGATTTTTTTTAGTTTTTTTTTTGTTTATTTTATTTTATTTGGTAGTTATTATTATTTGATAAAAAATTGAAAATTCCCCAAAATTAAAATATGTGGTAACCATATTATATGGAAGTTGTGGGGTGCCTAACACCTTCCCCATGCTTAATCGACCCTCCGAACCTGGTCAATTTCTACGAAGACCTTGGTGATCTATCCCACCTCATTTGGATAGATGGCGACTCCATCCATTTTGGCACGTCAACATTATCAAAGACATTTTTCTTAGTGTGCATCATATCAATATTATGGGGAAGTAGATTGTGCTGCCAATAAGGAAGAGTGAAGAAAATACTAATCTTTTTCAAAGGCTGACTTGACTCCCCTTCCATTATATTCACATCATCTGTATGACTCAAAATTTATGATCCGAATATTCGACCAGGTAGCATTCGAAGCTCCTTATTTCCATCAAAAGATTTTTTATCATGTCGATAACTGTGCCTTTGATCTAACCATCTCCGATGGCCCATATAACAATATTTCCTACTATGATATAACCACATAGATTCTGTGTTATAACCATAGCATGGACAAGCCTTTTCCCCCCTAGTACTCCACCCGGACAGCATTGCTCGAGCTGGAGAGTCATTGATGGTCCACAATAATGCAGCTCTCAATTGGAATCTTTCCCCTTTAGAAGCATCAAAAGTTTCAATCCCAGCATCCCATAGTTGTTGTAACTCTTCAATGAGTGGCTGCATGTAGATATCAATTTTGTTTCCAGGACTTTTTGGACCAGGAATCAACAGTGACAGTATCAAATTAGGTTGCTTCATACATAACCAAGGAGGCAGGTTGTATGGAATTAGTATAACAGGCCAGGTGCTATATGTGACATTCATTGACTTGAATGGATTAAATCCATCAGAAGCTAGACCCAATCTCAGATTTTGAGGATCAACAACAAAGTCTGGATATTTTTCATCAAAATGTTTCCAAGCTAAACTATCTACAGGATGGCGAATAAGTCTATCCTTAGTCCCTTCTTCATCATGCCATCTTATAAGAGAAGCAGTTTTTGAAGACATGTACAGCCGCTGTAATCTTGGGATTAAAGGGAACCATCGTAAGATCTTAGCAGCTTTTGGCTTTTTCTTTTTCATTGTGTAATCTATGGAATCTTCTTCAATATTTGTGTTAACAATCCACCTCAAAACACCACACTCGGAATAGAAATCATCATTAGCTTTATCTTTCCAAAATAGCATGCAATCATTAGGGTAAGCATGTATTTTCTCATAACTTAAGCCTAAACTTCTAATGATTTTCTTGGTTTCACTATAAGACTTAGGTAACACATTCCCTTCTGGTAGCAAGAAGCTCAAGTACTCTAATAATTGAGTGAAAGACTTATTACTCCACCCATTTAAGCATTTTAGGTGAAATAAATGCACAACAGCAACTAACTTATTCTCTTCACAATTGGGGTATAGTTTCTGCCCAGCATCCTTCAACAAATTAAAAAAGCCATCCATATCATTTCCAGACATGGAAGGTTCTTGGTTTGAACCCTCCCTTCCAGAATTGAAACTATCTACAACCTCATTGGGGATGCTATCTTCCATATCAACCCCTTCAAAAGCATCTTGTAGCAACCCTCTCATATCATGATTAAAAGCTATTTCCTCTTCATTTCGATTTTCACTAGAATTCACTACTGCAGAATCCTTCTCATGAGAAGTCCAGTTATAATTTCTAAGAAAACCCTTTTCTACTAAATGATCAACAACCTCTTCTTTACTACACCAAATTAAGTTTGCACATCTCCTACAAAGGCACAATATTTTCCCAGCTTTTGCAGATTTCTCAAATGTAAAATTTACAAAATTCAAAATTCCTTCTATGTAATCTGGATTTGAGGTTTCTTTCGAGTTTATCCATGTTTTATCCATAGTGATAAAACGATAAAACTGTAACCAACAAATTAAAACCAATGAAAACAGAGAAAACAAAAAAAAAAAATTTAAATAAACATTTGGATAATTTTTTTTTTTTATCCATAGTGATAAAATGATAAAATTGTAACCAACAAATTAAAACCAATGAAAATAGAAAAAAAAAATTGAAGTAAACATTTGGATAATTTTTTTTTTATCCATAGTGATAAAATGATAAAACTGTAACCAACAAATTAAAACCAATGAAAACAAAAAACAAAAAAAAAATTGAAGACGATAACTCAGATCAAATGTGCCAAAAGAATGAAAAATGTTGTTTTGTGCATTCATAACTCAGTTTTAAACATGTTTCTTGTCCTGGACAAATGACATAGATACACCTAGATTCTCATAGTACTTTGCTACAATTTAAGAACAGAGATAAGTCATAGGTTAGCTGAAGGTAATCAGCTTTGCTTTTAATGGGATCAACACCTCTCACTCCTGAATTAACATTTTCAGATCTCATCCATTCCAAAAAAAATTGTTAATTCATCAGGACATTAAGAATACTAAAGCCTATTTGTTATTTTACAAGCTTGTTAGCCTTAGTATGCAATTATCAGATTTCATGAAAAAGAAGAGGCTGACTCAGCTAAAAAAAAAAAGAAGAAAATTCCAATTTGAATATTTTCATTTCCCGCAGCTTTCTCAGTAACCAAACACAAGACAAGCTAAAGACGCAATTAGGAATTATGTAAACAATATAACACTATTATTTTGCTGCTACAACACAAAATCTTAAATACAGCTCGATGATCCAGAAGCCGGACATCCTATCTGTCTCATTTGGATAATTTATGGAATAACTCAATAACTCAATCTCATTTAAATATGGGTTTTTTTGTTTTTCTTTTGTTTTGGTTTGTTATCATTGAAGACGAAAAGGGAGAAGAAGAGAGATGCATTTTTCCCATAAGGAAGCATGCCATTAAGGTGTAGGATAGTTTTATTAGTTAGAATTCTATCATGAAAATTTAAGACAAGAGAACCAACAAGGTTGACTAGCATTAATAAATTGCTCCTTAATCTATTCTTAAGCTAAAATTGTATTTTGGTTTTGAACTGTCTAAGAATCAATCAAACAGTAATAGCTGATAATCAAAGATACATGGCCTAAATTCAAATTATTATTCAACTAAGCAAAATACAACCACTATTTGGTTGCATAGCAAAAGGACCAACCAACAAAAGACACTAGATCAATAGCATTAAAGAAAGAAACTATAATCGAAAAGAAAGAAAGAAAAAGAAGAAGCAAATACCAACAAAATTAAATTGCATTTGAATTAGGAACAAATCAGCACAAATTAACAAAATTACAAGTGCTTTAGGTATTGACTAACCTTCTTCTTCTCTAAGTAAAACTGAAGGCTATTCTCAACTGCTATCTTTAACAGGATCCTCAACAGATCGAGAAATTAATAGCAGGAAGCTAGGAATCCAGAGTTAACCACCAACCAAAAATTCTAAACTTGTCCAGAAAAATGATAAAATAACTGAAATTTACTCTGTAATATTTTGAAACACAAAAATTGTATAATAGGAATGCATATCACATTTATTTTGTTAAGCACCATTATACCTTATTGTATAATAGGAGTGCATATCACATTTACTTTCTTAAGCACCATTACACCTTATTGTATAATAGGAATGCTATGCAAAATCTCAATTAGGCATCATTGGTCTCATCACCAATAATAATATATAGGGATATCACAATTCCCCCACATTGGGAGCATCTCAAATATATGATTATCACATTTATCAAATAATTGAGTTCATGAAGAAACTCATTTTTCTCACAAGATTTTTATAAGAGCATATTTGCTCATCTCACTTTTCATCGCCACAAAAGGGTCCTTGATCACGTAAGCTTAAAGGTTTAACTTACGTTTCCGGAGTATATCAACCCAAATATCAAGTCCCTTTTTTTTTTTTCAAAATTGTTGCATGGACAAAATTGGGTAGCTCTCTTCTTTAGTCTTTTCACTTGGTCAAAATTTTCATAGACCATTTTCCATGGTTCCGAAAGTAAGACAACACAGCATTCACTAAAGATTTGTCAGAGGGCAAAAATAATCAACTAACAAAATATATGATTATAAAAAATATTTTACACATATTGGCATAACCAATGCACTTAATATTTTACTAGC